TACATACTATGATCAAATGGCTCACCTTCAGAACAGAAGTGACTTTGTCACTACCTGCAGGAGGAAATGGAAAGCAATTGTGGGGATTTACTACTAAGAAGCATTAAAGCAGCTGTATGCTGTTAATGTGTGGAGTATATTGGGGAAAAACTGTCCGGCTCCAGCAAGATACTCCTTCTAAAGAGGGCTTTAATTGAATCCTATCAGGAAGAAAATGATAGCCCAAAAGGAAGTACCAAAGTAAACACTAAAAACAAAAGATCTGGGTGCTGGAAGTGAAACCAGGGGACTTAGTGGGACATTAATCAAACCCAAACATCAAATAGGAAGAAAGATACAAAGTGTGCAAAACAAACAAAATGATCTTGAACCTTTAATATAGGTAGAATCAGAGGTTGCAGAATATGAAACCCGGTGGAATGATTTTGGAAACAAGAATGATATAAATGAAGAATACAACTGGCTTAAACCCAAAATGGGTGGAAGTTCCTGAAAGAGAAGTTACTAAATAATAATCAGTTCCAAGAAATGAGAAATTTCAGTTCCAAGAAATGAGGTAAAAAGCCAATGTAGTTTCACTCAATTAGAATCTTTAAAATTATTTACCTTCAAGGGGGTTCTCAGTAACATGCAATAATGTTAAAGTATAACAAGAGGAGGAAACATGAAGCATAAGGTAGGACATGTTAGTTGCAAATTTCTGTAAAAGCTGACCAAATGTCCAAATAAGTCCACCTGTAAATATTGTTTATGTACATCATTATTTTAAATGTTGTAACTTCTGTTAGCTCTCCTATTAATTCAAAAGGAAAATAAACACTACCTTTCCAGTAACAAAGTATCAATGTTTTAGCAATCAAAGGGGAATGAGAAATCCACTTTCATTGGTCATTTCTTCATTTCCAAAAATAACTCATAAGAACAATCATATCCCTGAATATCAAGGAACTTTCCAAAAAGGTTTAACTAATGCAATTCCTTCCTCCTCCTGAAATGTAGCAACCCAAAACATATGGTTTAAACAAGTATTGGCAGTATTACATCTCATGGACCTAGACCCCCATGACACACAAAACATATTGGAGGTCTTTAGAGGGATTTATAGAAGGTGTAGTTCACCTACATCAACAGAATGCAAACTTATTCTTGATCTCATGCAGTTCACCATATTCCCATTGTAACCAGGTTATTTGTAAATTACTCTTATGCAAGTTCAAAGAAATAAATGACAGTTGTCCAAACACTTGTGCAAGCCAAAACATGTTAGTGTATCTAATAGCAACAAGAGCAATGGTGAGTGACACTTTCTGTTAGCAAGCACTGCCAAATAAATGCTTATCCAAAACAAGTAATATTATTGTTACGTTCAAAATAAAATATTAATTATTCCCTTGGAATTGCCTTCACAGGAAAACTGTGTAACCAATTAACCAATATTGTACAATGACTCATACTCTGTATATTACCATATATTTCACCTATGCCATTAAAGTTCTTATTTTTGTCCCTCCATCTTCTGCACTTTGAAAAACAAATGGTATTTCAAATGAGAATGCCATTATCTCTACATTCCTAAGCTTCACAAAATTGCTCAATCGCAAACAGAACAGCAGCCAAAAAATAAATACATCTCTTATGCTCCTATTTTATTGCGGATTTTAACCTGGAAAAGCATTGTGCATTTTTATTCACTGAGTGCCCTCATTGCTGTGTTATTATCACATTTAGCATGCCATCAGCAGCCAAGCACAGCCAAGCAAACCCATGTTCAGACTTCAAAGCAGCTGAAACATTAATGGTGGTAAAAACAGGTTCTGCTAGGTAGTTCAGTTTGCTGCCAAATGCTGACATCATGCAACATCAGATTTATACAACAGGATTTAAATGGGGAAACTAGGGAAGATCTACTTCGCCAATTCTGTATCCCTTGGGCATTGGCAAGGAAGGAGACTAGCCATAAGAAGCTCTACAGAGATTTTTGTGATGCTCACAGACTTTTTAAAACCACAGTAATATATCAAAAAGGAGGTATTAAGGAAGACTTGCATAAAGCTGTGATTTCTATTTCATAGTGTAAACACAAAATAAGATGGGTCAGCACATATCAGACATTATGATCTCCAAAGCATTGGTCACTTGGTAGGTTTTTCAACAAGAAAATCCAGAAACTGAGCAAAGTATGCAATTATTAGGTTCTTGTAGGTTTTTTCGGGCTATAGGGCCATGTTCTAGAGGCATTTCTCCTGACGTTTCGCCTGCATCTATGGCAAGCATCCTCAGAGGTATAGATGCAGGCAAAACGTCAGGAGCAATGCCTCTAGAACATGGCCCTATAGCCCAAAAAAACCTACAAGAACCTAGTGATTCCAGCCATGAAAGCCTTCGACTATGCAATTATTGCTGCAAACAAATGCAGTACTCTGCCTTACATAAATACGCCCAAATGAAGCCTTGTTGGTCAATGACCTTCTAGTATTTCTGCCCATGCCAAAGGACTTCTGTATATAGTTTCAGCAAATAATAATTCTCCCTGAAATATGTGTTTTATTTTCACTAAACAAGTCCAAAACAACGACAGGCAGGTCAGGCTATGCTTTGCAAATACAGTGAAGGGCTTTATTTTTCCTTCTCTTTCTATTCCAACAGGGTTACTCATTGACAAGTATCCCACACCATAGGCAAAGCAGTAATATTTCAGGATCTAATCTTGCTTGCACAAACATTTGCAAAACAAAGGTATGCAAAAGGTCAGCGTATGAATCTATGCTTCACCTTTCACTTTTTGAACTCATGGCAGATGGCCCCATAAATACTTATGATAAACTAGATGTAATGGAGTTTACTCATATGATTACATGCCCACTAATACTTTTCAACTTTTGGAGAGCATTAGAGATTTTGTGTTTTCAACCAACTGAAATGTTAGGTAAAGTAGTGAATCTTTCTACCAGGTAAGGGTTTTTCACAGACAATCTTTCATTAACTATTAAGTCATAAAAAGTGCATAAATTGATGAAACAAAGGGTAGATAAACTGCATTACTATTATTCCCACTGTACCAATGCTCCAGAGATAGAGAGAATGGAAGAGAATGGCTTTCCTGAGACCACATAGTTTGTGGTTGAGGAAAACACAGATCACCGTGGCCTCTTCATAAATCAACACGTAGATGGATATGTACACACAAATGGTATTAAGATACTCTTCCACTGTGCAGTTCCACAGCACTGGGCTACTGGAAGGTGCATGTATGTGTATGTACATGCCCATGCCTGGAATGGTGGAAACTGCAGGTGAAATGACCCACTCTTAGTCACTGTGTTACACTATAACTAATGAGAGAAAGAGTGTCTCTTCACTGTGATTGTAAGAGCTATGCTGGTCTGCTTTTTGGAGATGGAATATTAAAAAAGAACACTTTCTAACTACCCTACATTCTCTAGATAGAGACAAACTAGAAACATCTGATAACATATACAGCTTTGTGAGAAGTAGGTGGTCCGTTGAAGCATGACAGCTGGAGAAGTAGGACGTGGCTGGTGGCACCAGAAGTAAAGACTTGGTTATAAATCTTTACGACCATCTAATCCAACCTCCTAAAGCCATCATTCTGACTGACAAAAACAGATGAGCACTTATTTGGTGAGTGCCAGAGTGATCTGCAGTGGATTCTCTTTACTTGTTGACAAGGTAGAGCAGAACCAGGGACACTGAGTGACCAGTGCTAATAAAGTATTACTCAAGCAATTAAAATAATATAATTTCTGCAAGATAAAACTAGCTTCTAAATCAGTGGATGGAATGATATTAATTCTAGCTTCAAGAATGAGGAACACGGTAAACCAAAACTAATCTTTGAACACTATAAATATTGTGCTTTTTAGGAAGAGACTTCCATGAAACTGGCAAGCTTTAGCCAGTTTCATTCTCAGTTGGCTCAGACATTACAAATCTAGTTTGGCCCTTGGAGTATTTTTAAGGCAGATTTTAATTCCTTGTTAATGTAAAACATACATTTCCATTATTATTTAGTGCTTCCCTATTGCAGTGAGGAGGGGAGGGGAGCCACCCACTTCCTTTCTTGACAAAGAGAATGCAGTTTTCCTCTAGTAATGCCAAGAACAGACACTGTAAATTCAGTTATTCTAATCTCCAGACATCCATCGGCAGCAGGGTGGGACCATTTGAATCAGTAGTTCTATTAAATCAGAGCATGGTCTTTTCTTAAAGCACTCAGTGATTTCATCACCCATTTGTTCATACTTTCCTGCACTGAAACCAAACATTTCACTGCAACTTTCTCCAAAAGTCATTCCAAGATAAGCAAGTCTCAAATCAAATACAAGCAAAATAAAACAATGTAACATCGTTACAACTTTGAGCTGGGAAAGCTGTACCTCTATGTCTGCATGACCCCTGTAAATACTTTAAAAATTACATTAAGGAAACCCTCCAGAGGAAAGAAGATAGAAACAGAGTAAGTGGTATCTTCTCTGCTGTCCCGAGTTATCCAGAACATCAGTACTTTCCAAAACAATTTCCAGCCCTGTTTGAAATGCCCCCAATCTTCAAACCAAGACTTTGGACTGGATCCAGACTTGTGCTAATCGGAGTTTTGCATCCAATGACAAGAAAGCCAAGTGGCAACCTTATTCCATTCCCTTATGCCCCATGCTGTTTTTGAGAAGGAATTTCCCCAAAACAAAGGGAGAGGTTGTTCCCCTTTACTTCAGTAGGAAGCTATTACTGGGCCATGGTTCCTCCGTCTTCAATGGAAGAACCCTTTTTTTCATGGAATCAGGATCTCAATCTTTTGACTCTGTCAACTTAGTTCAATTTCCCCTATTACTACAACACTGCTACTACACAGCTATTTTCTGTTTTATATGTCCACAGTGTTGCGTGTCACCTTGCTATTAAGTTTTCCTTCACCTGAAGATATTTTTGACAAATGTTCTAATGGCATTAGGGAACATTCTGTTGGGATTATACAAACTTACCCGTTCCACTTGCCCTTCTTTATGTTTCAGCTTGTAAACTTTGAGCTTTGGAAGAAATGTCTCTGCATAATTTTTGTCTTCCATTCCTTGTAGGAGTACACCATGAAATGCTAACCTACAAGTGTTTGCATGAATATCAGTATCCAGCTTTGAGCCAATCACAAGGCACAATTTAGGACAAGTGACTGGTTTTTCAAACTCAAGTAAAGCCCACTGCTGTTTAGGGATCTGTCTTTCTCCAGCTTGGTCATTCTCCTTGTTTTCTTCTGAAGATTTTGGGTCTCTCCAAAGATATTCTTCTTGGTAAAGATATTCCTTGCCAAAATTCAAACTGTTCTCCATGGGTTCGTCATTGAAGTCATCTGGAGCAGGGCTAAAAAACATGACTCTTCCCATAACAGTTTCATGGCCCACTGTGATATGAAACTTAGCTTTTGTCTGAAGAGTGCCTCGGAAATATGGAATTTTCTTTAAAGAGATGATAGCAGCATGAATGGTCTGGAGAGATTCAGGAGTACAGATCAAGCCACGTTCCAACAGCTTTGGATCAAACTGAGTTACACAGATTCCTACTCTGTCACCCTGCATGGCATAAGTGACCGGAGTATGAAACATCTGCATGGACTTGACTTTCTTGGTTACCTATTTTTGGGAGAAAAGCAGAAAAAGGGAAATTATTATGGTTTATGTACTTAGGTATCAAAGCATTTTTGTTATTAAAATTGATATCCCATTATATAAAACGAGCAATACTAATTGAGATAAGAATTATTTCTAGGTATTTATACACTGTTCTTTTGTAGGGAGCTAATTATTCAAGCAATTACTTGTTAAACTATCCACATGCATGCTTTCTGCTAAAACTTTCTATCTCATCTTTATCTACTTTTTGTATCATAAAATAATAACAAGAAATATTATTTTTAATCTGTTATCATTTTTAGTATCAGAAAGGAGTAATCAGATGGGTTTGTCCGCATAGACATTCGCTGATTTATTTTTGAGAAGTGAAACAAATTCACGTGGTAGCAACCTTGGAATGTTTTTTTTTAATGTTGCCTTCAACTTTTCACTTATTTCTTATTTCCCATATACGTTTGCTGAAGCCTACTTGCATTAGGCTATTCTCTTAATATTACAATGGGTCATAGCTAAAGACAATAAAATAATCTGGTTTAGTTTGGTTTAAATTAGGCTAGGCTGTTGGCTTTTTCCCTGATCAATAAGAACTGCCTCTCTTATATTATTTTATAACAAGGTTTTGAGACTATGTACTTACATAGTCTCAAAACCTTGTTATAAAATAATATAAGAGAGGCAGTTCTTATTGATCAGGGAAAAAGCCAACAGCCTAGCCTAATTTAAACACAATTCTCCAGTATTGTGTTTAATGATACTTCAATAATATATTTATGTATGTTTGATGATATACGTATTTGTGCAACAAATTCATGCAAATACATGTTGTGATTTAACATAAAGATTACATTCTAAGACATAGAAAATAGGCAAATACTATGAACTTTTAATCCTTGTAAGATCACCTTCCCTTTTCATAGATTTGTCCACTAAAACCATACTGTGACATTTATGAAAAGTAAAATCTACTTCAGCTTGCAAATAATACTTACTTATTTACTTCATTTACTCCCGCCTTTCTCCCCTTCAGGGGACTCAATAATAAGCACAAAACTAGTCTGGCATGCCCAGGACTACACCCATCAATATAGTTCATTTACCCTGTTCATCTTGCTCTGTTAAGAAGTAAAAAAGCTTTGCACTTATTAGTTTGATGCTAATAGCTTAGAGTTACATCAGTTATTCTACTTCAGAAACTTCTAAGGGAAGGGAAAAAAATTTGCCACAAAAATCAACTTCCTCTCTTTTCCAGTGCTGAATGAAATTCATCAGCAGAGTGACCGTGTTTTTAGCTACGTTTTAACCTGCCTCGGGCCATGAGGAAAGGCAGGTAAGAAATAAAATAACAACAACTATTATTATTATTATTAAAAGTGGATACAGCAGTAAGAAGATAGTGTTCCAGTTCAATGATTAGTCTTGTGTTTCTATGGTGTGTCTCTCACTCAATTAATCAAACTAGATTGGTCTGAGAGAAGTGATTTAATATTTTACATAAATTCAATATGCACAGAGATGATGAAGCCAAGATATTTTTCAAACACATCACACTAAAATTCCTTTTTCTTCCTTGAAAAGCTTGCAAATTATTGACTGTACCAACCTGGACAGATAATGCACTCAATTTTCATCAATAATAATAATAGTAATAATAAAAATATAATTTTTATATCCCGCCAACATCTACTCTAAGGGTCCCAGGAAGGCTTACAGGTACAAGTTTATAAACAAGAAACAAATCACAAAAATCATATTTTTAGGTTTAAAGCTCTATATAAGTGGATTGCTACACTAGAAGAATACAAGTACCACCTCTAGGTGGAAGAATATTTATTTTAGTGCTGTCCTACATGAAAGATCAATCTTGAAAGCTGACAAGTACATAAAGAGGAAACGTTTTAGACTTCTCCCTTCCTTCCTACTACCCTGCACCTCATCTCAGTGTTAAACTCAACCCTTTCTTTTTTTAGAAGAGAGCATTCAAAAATGTGGTTTCCTCACTTGCAGTATAAAACCATACACAGTACAGATTTCTTCTACCTTGCATTATTACTCTGGAAAAGAACATAAGATTTGACTGGGTGGCCCTTGTGATCTCTTCCAGCTCTGTGATTTTATGATATGTTGAAACCATTCATAACTGTGCTGTGACAGGATGATGCCTTGAATTCCACATTATCCTCCTAGTACCGCTCAGTTATGGATGGCTGCAGAAATATGGCCTCCCTAAAAGTAACTTCGGGCAATGGGTATGGAACATCTGCTTGGATGGTGGTTCCTCTGATGCTATCAAGACACTTTTTACACATGCCACAGAGCTCTGTTGACCTCTCCCAAAATTTTGAAATTGAAGATATAAGTCAAATATAAATACACGTAATAGTAACAATATTTAAATAACTGTAACATCTTATAACAACTTGTTAAGACAGTCCTTTATATATGTTATCTTTATGTGTTTCTCTAAATTTGATAGGAGAAAGCAAGAATATAAATGATGGGAAAACTGTGGCCATTCAAATGTTGCTGAACTGAGACTCCCAGCTTTCCTTACAGCTGGGTACAGGCTAAGACTGATAGGAGATTCAATTGGGCAAAACCTGGAGGGCTGCACTTTGGCAGCTCATCGAATAAACAAAACCATATGTTCAAACTCTAAGTTTAAGACACCATAAATGGAAAGAACTAAACATGGCTTGCTGTCTAGTAGCATGGCTATATGATACTTTGAAATTTTCATTTCTTGTTTGTACTCTTTTAAAACTGTGTAACCTTGTTAAACTTTTCTGAATTCTTTAAGCAACATTTACTGTTTCTATGGAAGCTCACTGGTAAACTGGTCTATGTCCTTTGGTTAAAGTGAAATTTGGATCTAAATTCACAATGGCTTGCAGACCAGCATTCAAAATTCAGATTCCTTTCTACTCTTTTTTAAGCAAATGTACACCTTCATCGTAAGAACAAGAACCATGAAGCATAAACTTTTTATTTCAGACATATACTGTATATACTCAAGGATAAGACTAGTTTTTCAGCACCTTTTTATGCTGAAAAAGGTCCCTTCGGCTTATACTCAAGTGAGGGTCCTGGCAGGAAGCCATGGTAGTGAAAGAAGCCCTTTATAGGGCTTCTACCAGCTGCGTGCCTCCTCCTCTTTCGGCACAGCAATGCAGCTGGATCGCTCTGCCAAGAAAGGAGAGGAAGGCGCGCGGTCTCTCCTCTTGGCACAGCAATCCAGCTGGGTTGCTTTACCGAGAGGATAGGAGAAGCTGTATGTAATTTTAATGATATCTGTTTTTATTTTGAAATTTACCAATTGCTGCTGCATTTCCCACCCTTGGCTTATACTCTCTGTCAATAAGTTTTCCCAGTTGTTTGTGGTAAAACTAGGTGCCTTGGCTTATATTTGGGTCAGCTTATACTCGAGTATGTATGGTAAAAATTGAGATTCAAAATAAAAGGCTAGCAACAAACTTGGAATGCATACATTTTTCTAAATTTTGTTGTGTCTCTATTCAATATCCTCAAGTAAATTTATGGTTAACTTAAATTGGAATTTCACCACTCTACAGTTTTTCTTTCCAAAAATTATGTGAGGAAGTTGGACTGAAAGACCAAAACCCAAAAGTGGGCCTAAGGCTACCAAAGAACGTTGAATCCAGGTTTTCCAGTCCACACACTACATTAACCACTACATCAAACCAACTCTCAAAGAGAATGTAATCATATCACATATCTTTGTGCTTTTATTTTCACATCAGAATTTTTAATAACGGACACTGTTCTCTTCAGGTGAACACTCTCCAAAGGGAACAATATTGGGAGGGTAATGGGCTTAGCCTACCTCCTGCTACTACTAAATATAAGTTAATCTTATCTGCAACACTGGAATAAGATTTATGTTGAAATTAATGTGTGAAGTTCAATATTTTAAGAGGGATCTTTCTCTCACTGATTTACATACTTGCCGCAGTCAGAGTTCCCATTTTCATGCCATCCATAGATATATTTTAGATGGCACATCTTTTGTGCAGTTCCTCAAAAAGAAAACAGTGTGTCTAAAACTAATTATATAGCAACTTGAGGTTCATAATAACTTATCAAGTAGCACCCACATTTTCCTGAAGAAACAAACATGACACTATTGTTTCTGCTCAGAACAGATGCATATTTAACAGAGGATAGGGTATGGGTGGCATCTTAGAATGCCAGGAAAATAAATCACAAAATAATGTTCAATATTTTTATCTGGATGATCACATTAATATTTCTAAAAATGATGTAGAAGCTTTGTGGATAAGAAGGACTACGGAAGTCCATGTGTTCATATGCAGATAAAAATGCAAAAAGGAGAGATAAATTAAAAGCACCCAAACTGCTCAGGCCCTTAAGATAAACAAATGTGTTCAATATAAGAAAAGAACCTGTTATTTGAAGACCAAAGGAAAAGCCCACTAAGATTTTCAAAGCAGTTTAACTAATAGAAAACAGCATACAAAAACTGCACTAATGGCTTTTTCTCCAGATACAATGAAGCTTCTTTTCCTTTATTTATCCAACTTTCATTAAGTTATCGGTACTCCATATGCCATAGCTCTCAGCCTTTTCAGATAAGAGACCAAGCATCCTCCTACCTCCAGTGCTGTCACTGCATCTGACTGATACAAGAGATAAAGGCAACCTAGACGTTCTGATAAGTGGAATCACAGCAAATTCACCTAACTAGCAGATTGTTATAAAATGGATTTTTTTTTGGGGGGGGGGGGGGATAAATAAAAAGCAGATTGCAACACAGTTAAGGCATTTGGTAATCAAGTCATTTAAAATATGTTCGACTACTTTAATTAAGGCATAAACATAATGTGTAGTCCCCCTCCAATAAAATGAGGCTACCGGCATATATTTTGGTGAGAGATAAATTATATTAATGAGACAGGACACTGTATTGGCAAATAGGGGAAACTGAAAAAAAAATAGCTTAATTTTGGTTGTTTCCTAAGAAA